TTTTTTTTTTTTTTTTTTTTTTTTTTTTTTTGCAATTTTATATAGTTTAGGTATTATGATTAGAATCATTCAAATTTGACTTAATCTATATAATTATTTTAGTTTAATATTGTAATATTAGCTTAGTGAATATATTTATTATCACATGCCTAAATCAGTAAATTTTGGTCGTTCAATTATTTTAAACATATATTTTAAATTTAGATGGTTGAAAAGTTAAATGCCCTCCAGAATATTCATACCTATGTAGTTATAGTATATTATAAAAAAATTTAACTAAAAAAAGACTAATAAATACCATTAATTTTTTTAAAAAAAAATTAAATTTTTTTTTTATAGAAAATATCACATTTAAAAAATACCCATAAATTTTTAAAAGTAAGATTAAACCGTTAAATTTTTTAAAATTATTATTTTACTAATGTTTCTGTTTAAATAGTAACCTAATAAAAGTTTTAAAGTTTCAAGGGTCCTAACACTTTTTAAAGTATTCACGATCTCCGAACACTTTGTGTTTGTTTTTCTCACTTAATAATCTCTATTTATAGATTATTGTTCGAACATAATCGCATAGTAAAAATCCATAAATATCAATTAAAATAAAAATCTAAAATGAAAAAAAAAAAATTAAAAAGTAACTATAAATATTGAACGTATCGCTGACATTTCTGAATCAGCCCTTTGACTTTCTAGTCGTCTTCTTCTTCTTCCTTCAATTCCCTTTCTCTCTGTTTTCCCCAACAACGCCTTCTCAATCTCCTCGAAAACCCTGCCCCACCCAGATTCCTCCGCCGCCGCTGATATGTCCAATGGCGGCGGCGAACTGCCTTCTGAGGAACGGTGCTCGGTGGAGGAGGTGGCTCTGGTGGTGCCAGAAACTGACGACCCGACTCTTCCTGTGATGACTTTTCGATCATGGGTTCTTGGTCTCGTTTCTTGTTGCCTTCTCATTTTCCTCAACACTTTCTTCACTTACCGTTCTCAGCCACTCGCCATCTCCGCCATTCTTATGCAGATCGCTGTTCTCCCAATTGGCCGCTTCATGGCCTCCACTCTCCCAAACAGGGACTTCCATTTCTTTCGATGGAAGTTTAGTCTCAATCCTAGCCCTTTCAATATGAAGGAGCATGTTATTATCACCATTTTTGCTAACTGTGGCATCTCCTATGGCGGCGGCGACGCCTATTCCATCGGCGCCATTACTGTCATGAAAGCTTATTATAAACAGGGCTTGAATTTCTTCTTAGCCCTTCTCATCGTCTTAACTACCCAGGTTTGCATCTTTATGAACGAAAAAGGGCCAATTCCAAAGTTTTGTCTTTTGAATATCGATTTAAGTCAAAAATAATGAACACCCATTTTCTAAAACATCCCGATTGATAAGATCTAGACCCTTTTCTTACATTCCCCTGTTTTGAATTTTTTTTTCTCTTTGGCTGTTCTTCAGGTTTTGGGATATGGATGGGCTGGAATGCTGAGAAGGTACCTGGTAGATCCTGTTGAAATGTGGTGGCCTGCAAATCTGGCACAGGTTTCTCTGTTCAGGTACGGTTTCTTAATCCCTTTTCCAGATTTGGAGCTGAGAGGCTTAGCAGCTTTTAACTCTGACATGCTCTGTTTTCTTTGCCTTGCTCTGTTTTCTTTGTCCTGTTTTAGAGCCCTTCATGAGACGGAGGACAGATCAAAAGGGATGACAAGGATGAAATTCTTCCTAATCTTGATGGGAGCAAGCTTTGTGTACTACGCTTTTCCAGGTTACTTGTTACAAATCTTATCATTCTTCTCGTGGGTTTGTTGGGTTTGGCCTCGCAGCATCACGGCTCAGCAAATTGGGTCGAGCCAAAGTGGACTTGGGCTCGGTGCTTTCAGCTTTGATTGGGCTGGGATTTCGGCCTACCATGGAAGCCCACTGGTGTCGCCATGGTCCTCAATTCTAAACGTGGGTGTTGGGTTTGTTATGTTCATTTATATCATCCTCCCTGTTTGCTACTGGAAGTTCAACACCTTCGATGCTCGCAAATTCCCCATTTTCTCTAATAAGCTCTTCACCAGAACAGGCCAGAAATATGATACTACCAAGGTTTTGACTCCCGATTTTGAGCTCAATGTTGCTGCTTATAATAACTACGGGAAGCTCTATCTTAGCCCCTTGTTTGCCCTCTCCATTGGATCTGGCTTTGCCAGGTTTACTGCTACTCTTACACATGTCGCATTGTTTCACGGCCGGTATGCAATCAACCCATGTTTGTTCACACATTAAGTCGATTAAGTTTAGAGACTAGAGATCGAATACATATATCACTATAGTTATAAACCAAGTTTAAGATTCTGCACTTTCAATGTTTTTAGGGACATATGGAAGCAGAGCAGGGCAGCAATGAAGAATGCAAGACTGGACATCCATGCCAAGCTGATGCAATACTACAAACAAGTGCCAGAATGGTGGTTCTTGATCCTATTATTTGGTAGCACTGTGATATCTCTTCTGATGTCGATTGTGTGGAAGGACGTCGTGCAGCTGCCGTGGTGGGGTATGCTATTCGCCTTCGCTATGGCTTGGATTGTCACCCTCCCAATCGGGGTCATTCAAGCCACAACCAACCAGGTAATCGAACGGGAATTAGTAGTAGTAGCACACACTCGACTTTGTTTACATTCTAAAACAAACGACTTATAAATCCATATGGAATGTTATGCAGCAACCTGGATATGATATCGTAGCACAGCTCATCATTGGTTATATTCTCCCTGGAAAACCAATAGCAAATCTTCTTTTCAAGATCTATGGAAGAATCAGTACCGTTCATGCTCTTTCTTTCTTATCTGATCTTAAACTTGGCCATTACATGAAAATCCCCCCAAGATGCATGTACACTGCCCAGGTGATCTTTTAGCAAACTTCAATGTTTCTTTTGAGAGTTTTATGATCTTGACTGATTCGTGTTTTCTCAGTTAGTCGGGACACTCGTTGCCGGGACCATTAACCTCGCCGTTGCTTGGTGGATGTTAGACAATATTGAGAACATCTGTGATACTGAGGCTCTCCAACCTGATAGCCCATGGACGTGTCCGAAATACCGAGTGACGTTTGATGCATCTGTTATCTGGGGACTAATAGGACCAAGGCGATTGTTTGGACCGGGCGGGTTGTATCGAAACTTGGTGTGGCTATTCCTGATCGGAGCTGTTCTTCCGGTTCCTATTTGGGCATTGAGTAAAGCTTTCCCTGAAAAGAAATGGATTGCACTGATAAACATACCAGTTATATCCTATGGCTTTGCAGGGATGCCACCAGCAACTCCTACAAACATAGCTAGCTGGCTCATCACTGGTACCATCTTCAACTACTTCGTCTTCCGATACCATAAGCGATGGTGGCAGAAGTACAACTACATCCTCTCGGCCGCGCTCGACGCAGGGACAGCGTTCATGGGCGTGCTGCTTTTCATTGTGTTGCAGAATGGGGGCCATAGCTTGAAGTGGTGGGGATCACAGCCCGATCACTGTCCTTTGGCTAAGTGTCCAACCGCTCCCGGGATCATCGTTAAAGGATGTCCAGTGTTTTAGCTAGATCGTCGAAGCCCGAGACGATGAAACTGATAGCCATTATGTTACCGAGAGTTAGGTTCAAGTTCTTGTTTACTTATGTTGTTTGTAAATGTTAGTTTGTAGTGATTTGGGTAGGGTTTATATATGGCATCATGTTAACTACAACTTGTGCTATATCATTTAGTGTATGGCAATGGAAAGAGCAAAGCATAAAATAAAATTCTAGTAAAGTTCCCTTCAAGAGACTCAAGCACCGACTAAGCTCGACTTAGGGTCATGATGCGAAAGTCATAAGTTCTCTTTCTTACCCGTGTATGGGACCTCATTTCTAAGGGTTCGTTCTTGCTACTCTAAGGTAGTTATCTTGGTTAGATGGTTCTAAGGTTTCAAGTTATCTTAATTAGATTAGATGTTCTGCTAGTCCCTTATATCATTATTATCATTTTCATAGACTAATATCTCATAGGTCTTCGAGGCACGACTCCGAGGTCAATTCCAACCCATAGTTCTCATCATAGCTTTATGGACAATGTTCTCAGATTTTCTAGTAGGGTTTTAGTTGGCATCTCCCTAATGAGCTTCATAATATTATAATCATAAAAGGAGGTTGCGACCCTCAATATTGCCAACACTCATATACCTATTTGGTCCTTACTCAATCATGATTAGGGAGTGGTTAGAGACCCCCTAACCACACCCACAAGATGCTCGTTGGGTTTATCTCACAAGGTTCATGCATTTTAGAGCTTAATCCTAGTTCTACCCGCTAATAAACATAATAAAATGTTATATAAAACTTCGACTATTGAGTCATGTTCATGACTAGGGTTTAGTTGGTAAATTCCTAATAGTCCCCGCACAACAACATCAACATGCATGCATGATCATATCATCATAAGGGACATAGTATAGTGATCTAAACATGGTTATCTAGTCATACTTTCACTTTTGTATAATTATGAATGCATTCTATCATTATCATAAAAATCGAGCATCATAACAGTTCAACTGTTTATTTTCAATCAAATTAACTTATTT